GACTTGTCGTCGTCGTACCTCGTATAGAATGGAACAGTCAAGTGTGGTCGGGGCTCTCGCGGTGGGGTCTCCTGCTAGCCAGGCGTGTAGGCCAGGCGTTGTATCACTGAGTCGCACATCTCCGTGACCTTTGCGAGTAGGGTCCCTTGTGCCGCTGCGGCCATCGCGGCTTCCTGCTCCAGTGTGAGCATGCCTGCAAGCACAAAAAAAGAAACTCCACCAGAAACAAACACAAGCGCGCAAAACGGTTGCCGCAGTCACAAAGCAAACATTGAGAAACACGCCAATACAACAAACGAGGACGTGACGGAAGGACGGAACGACGGTAGCAAACATGGGGAGCGGGAAAAAAGCTTACCGGAAGAAGAAACTAAGCCCCGTGAAATTCCTGCGAGTGGATAGCATACCACGCTTGGGCGTCATTGGTACTCTGCCCACTCGCAGGAATTTCATGGGGCTTGGTTTCTTTTTCCCCACGTTTGACGCCATTGTGGTCGGTTTGCCTTGCTGGATACCCGACCCGGAGGAATTACACGGAGCCAACGGTTTCAACAAGAAACTACATTTATTTGACATGGACGAGATGATGAAGAATACTAACGAAAAACCAACGATCAACGGCGGTGCTTGAGTCAAGCCAGCGACTGCCCGTGCGCCGCCTCTGATCCGCCCGATGTCATCGGGTGCACGCGCTCTCGATGACATCGAGTGCGCGTTCCATTGTACTGGATCTTTATACAACCGCGTTCGCAACCGCTTTGCGAACGCGGATCCGCTTCCAGTGTGAATCAGTGGCAAGCCCTTACTTTTACGATCTGAAATCAAGCTTCCTGCACATCCAAAGAAAGGACGCGCGAGCCAATGGCGATTCCGTGAGCACCACCGCGACGCACGGAGCGGTCACGCACGATAAGGTCATACCGGTCCAGGCCTTTGGAAGCTCCCGACTTCAATACTGTGGGAACCCATCGTGTTCCTTCTCACAGCATTTTCGCTGCCGATGACTTGTGGCAATAACACCGAAGGGACGTCGCTGAAGTGGACAATCTGGCCACAGCAGCGTTGCCTGAGGCTGAAAGGCTACAAAAAGGGCGGGGTTACGACAGCGTGGGCTTCGGCTGCACGACAGTTCCACAAAAACGCGTTGTCGAACTTCCTCGTATTTGCTCTACATTCGACGCGTGCAAGTGGCCTCGACCGTGCTTGTGGGCATCTAAAGACTTCTGCAGTCGTCTCCCGCGACTTATCTACTACATGGGATGGAGATCAAGACCAGAACCGCTTCTTCCGTCGTGTCACATTGTTCTCGACGATCTCTATCCACATCGGGAGCCGTCAAAGCTCGTCGTCACTTTTGTGAAGAGCGAGGCGTTTCAGGAGAGTGGAGAGCTCGACCCCTTCAAGCTCGAACACTTCAACTTGAAAAGGGCAATACTGGACGTGAGTAGATGTCAGCAGAAGGAACACTTTGATATGAAGAATAGAAACTGCAAGTACTCTAACCAACTGGTTTGAATTGCCCGACGTTTCGCGGCCTGCTCGGTCGCCTGTTCACGGGTGACTTATCTGGCTGGGTGTTCGTCTTTCTCTTCTTCTCCCTATCGGGCAGTTTAAACCATTTGGTTAGAGTACTTCCAGTTTCTTTTCCTAATACTCACCTAACCGGGCAAATTTTGCCGAAATGTTTACTTTTCAATCACTTTGATATTGCTCAGAATCTGTACATGAAGGCCTATAGGAGCTTTCAACACCGCCTCAATCGAAGAGACGTCCCCTACTCTAAAGGTGCCTTCTCTGCTCTAGTACATTTTGACACGGCAAACGTGAGGCTCACCTTGACTTTCAAGCAAGATCTAACTAAAGCCATCACCATTTTCTTTACCAGAATCGCCTCGCATTTTGTAAATTGATAAAGAAAGAAACGTCGTCTGCCAGTTAAAATGAAAGAACACAAATTCTACCCAAATTTGGGGGGCAAATCAGTGTACGCGTCCCTGCTTTCGTGGCGCGTTTGCGTGCGACGAGATTGGCCTAGGGACGCCATCACCCGGAATTTAAGTACAGAGTACGGCGCCGAGGTATTTTTTTAGTGAGCTCTTCTCTATATATGCCCAAAGGACATCACAATTAGTTATTTTGACAGTTTCGGAATTATTCCGATTTACGAGTAATTTTACGATTTTGCATACGCAGCCAGTTTATTCTACGCCAAGAAAAGAATTCAAGGGACTTCGCACACCTGCGGACTTTACTGTCTATACGTTGGTGCGTTCCTGTGTTGGTGCGCTGGTGCGTTGGTGCGCTGGTGCGTTGGTGCGCTGGTGCGTTATACGTTGGTGCGCTCCTATATATACTCCCAAAAAAAGGCAGAAACAGATCGCGTTACATAAAGGGCTCTTTGTACAAATATTTAGACTCTGCTCAAAACCACATCGCTCAACATGAAAATCATAAAATGGTTATTTACACAATATTTACTACTGATGGGCCGAACTTTTGCCGAATCAAAATTTCGGCGCCGAATCTTGGGATTCCGCAAAGCCGAACTTTTCTAGAGTTTCGGCAAAGATTCGGCCAAAATACATTGTTACCAGACTTAAGGTTGAAATTTAGTTTTTTTATGGCGAAAAAAAAAAAGGTTTTATGTTTTTTCCCCTTACTTAAATGCAACATGTAATGCACATTGACACAGTTATTACTAAATAAATTGATATTCTACAATATAATTGTCTCGGTGTCGTTTTTGTGCGTTTATTGACAATTTTAGTGACTTTTGCAGAAGTGGCGTGGTTGGGTTGGGTAGAAGCGAGCGTGGGCGCAGTAACGGAGTTTCGGTTTGGGGAATTATTAGCGCAAGCCTGCATGTTGTGTGTACATTGTTAAAATGAGTGCAATAACGCTGCGTTCTTGCTCTCTCTGAGACTCACCGTTCTGTGTGGGAAAATGAATACAACGGTTGCTGAGTCTTCATCAGAAGAGATAATAATATTATTGCACTAAATATGTCTGTTTTTCGATTTGAGTCACTTGACGTCAACTTTGCATTAAAGTGTGAGTCCCATATTAGCATCGTCTGTTTTTCACCTTTAAAAAGTCAGTTTCTGGTGTTAGGATACACGCGAACGCTTAAAAAGATAGGGAAAGTTAGAAACGTCAGATGTGCAACGTGCGTTTTATGCAGATACAGGAAAATCGCGAAATAACGCTAATTGAAAAATTAATATTATTTTGTTTTGGCACACACTACTTCTGAGCCGAAAACAGAATTGTTATATTTGCGAGGAGTGCTTTAAAGCAGTTGTCTTCCAATGTTTCAACTAACTCGTTGCATCACTGGAAATGTCAAATGAAAATCACGTCATCCAGAATGTACCGCATCATTCGTTACTTGCGCGGTGGACTGCGTAAATTACTGATCGATCTTCTACTCTTGAAGCAGAAGGTTTTGAAGAGAACCACGCTCGCTCACAAACGCAGTTACCGTGTTGTTTGCTGACTCCACACCTCGCCGTAACCACTGGTTGTACTACGCTGCGCCACCGTGCACTGCACGATATAAACCGCACGACTGCACGGAGTCCATTCGCAATCCACGGCCCCGCCGCGTTCTCGCGCGTGCGCAGACATTTGCCGAATTTTTGCCGAATCTTTACCGCACTTTCCTTCAAAAGTTCGGCGTTTGCCGAACTTTGCCGAATCTGAAGTTCGGCAGATTCGGTCCGTCACTAATATTTACCCTTTGTACATAAATTGATCACTCAGTTGCAAATGAAACTAAAGGCACTTCACAAAGCTGTACATCATCTTGCCTACCTTGGTAGAGCGTGTCAAACGTCTCCAATGTCCAAAAGGAAGAAGGGCGCCACGAGGTGACAAGTCCACGAGTGGTGTTTGGATTGCGCGCGAAATCACGCATCAGGAAGACGAGCAGTAAAAGACATTAGCGCGGAGCTATTCATATAATATTGCGTCACGTGACTTTTGTCACACGACCTGCAGCAATGACGCATTGAGATCGTGTGGAGGATGCCATACAAGTCATGTGACGTCATCTCTGAAGTCAACACATGAATGTAGAGAAGCCAACTGATTGATGGCGTTGGCGTCGACGTACACCGTCGATTTACGCCTTTATTTTAAATGAGGTTACGAAAGCCAATTAGCGCGACAGCTTTAACACGTTATATGAATTAAGCGCGCGCGACATAGGTTTAACTACTACGAGTTAAGATGTCGAGGAAGCGCTCTGCTGGTAGCTCAATCGATAAAGTGCAGGCTTACTGTACACGAAGCAGCTGGTTTCAATCCCAGCCAACGTAGAATTTTTTTTACCGAATAAAATATTTACCGTGCAGCGGTTCAAGTAGTATCACATGACCTTCGTCACGTGACCGCTGCAATGACGCCCCGCACATCCACTTTCTTGCTCTGCAATTCAAATCCTGTAGCGCCTAGCTCCTTCAGTCGGATGTAGCTCGAACAAGGTGACATCACTTGGTGATGACAACCGCTGTGATTGACAGCCCCCCCCCCCCACCCCCCTGCTGCGTGCTTTTCACACACGCCTGGCCTGCGCCGCGGACATGACTTCACACCTGCACCGAGTACGGGACTCGGAGGCGGGGACATAGGCGAGCTCCGATTGGTCACGGGCCAATGCCCTGTAGGTGGGACCATCTATGTCAGTGATTACTGTAAGTGTGGCCATCGATAACCGCGGCCTGTCGTTGGTCACTGGGATGAGAGAGGAAGAAGAAGCCCGCCCTGCTGCACTGTGATTGGTGGTACCGAGTTTGGCCCCGCCCTCGTGCGCTGTGATTGGTTCGTTGGTGAGTTCGTACCCTTTTACTGCTTCTGTACACTACTATATAACAAGCCTCAGTATTACCATATGTAGTGCATTAAAATACCTTTATGTATTGTATTGGAATTGTTTGTAAAGAGCCATAATTTAAGAATCTGCACTTTTTCATGTGACTGACATATCTTAAACATTTCAGGAATTCTTGCTCTTACGATGGTTTTTTATATAGACGATTCCGTCAACGTGACTGAAGAGAAGGTAGAGAAATACCTGCGGAGTGTCACTTGGCAGGTAAATATATTCCAACCTCGTGGTTTGCTTCTTGCCCTATGCACCCCCCCCCCCCCCTTTTTTTAGCAAGTTTACTGAGATGGTCAACACAAAAAAAATATTTGCGCGATTGTTATACCATACGCGTGAAAATTATTCAAAAACTGAAGTACTATTGCTATCTTTTCTACCGCAAAGTCAATCTTTATACGTTTTAAAGAAACTTTTCTATCTGAGCGTTCAGGAGGCATGCAAAGTTTCTCATGATTGTTCGACCATGTATTGTTTACAAACTCAGTAGTTGAACATAGGGGATTCGCGGCCTAGCGCTTTGCACGCTAATTTTGAACTTATCTTTGCTGTAGTCACCCGCACTTCGAGGCTGATCGTCGCCACAGCTGATTTCCATCGACGAGGAAAACTGCCCCGTGCCCTGATATCGGAACCATCCGGACTACTAGCGACACCGCATCACCGATCCTTCAAAAGAAGTGCTCACATCGCCTCAAGCGGGATTTGCGGCCTAGCGCTTTGCACGCTAATTTTGAACTTATCTTTGCTGTAGTCACCCGTACTTCGAGGCTGATCGTCGCCACAGCTGATTGCCATCGACGAGGAAAACTGCCCCGTGCCCTGATATCGGAACCATCCAGACTACTAGCGACACCGCATCACCGATTCTTCAAAAGAAGTGCTCACATCGCCTCAAGCGGGATTTGCGGCCTAGCGCTTTGTACGCTAATTTTGAACTTATCTTTGCTGTAGTCACCCGCGCCATAGAGTAATCTACACAAGGTAAAGAGCGGACACCGCCGTAGGCCCCAGCGTCCCGTATAACAACTACCGCGCCAAACGGTCGATGAGAAAAGCTTACTCTTGATTCCGGTTCCGGTGGTTTCAGTTTCGGTTTCGTTTCCGGCGCTTTTTTTGCCGAGCTTGCTGTCGCGCGGCTTCTCTTGATGGCACAAATGCTTCTGATTAGAGGCTTCACACCACGAAAGAGCAGAAATTATTCTCTTTACTACTGTGAAATATTAAGATATATATTCTTGTCATACTGCTTCCGTTTGTTTACGTGTTTACGAAGTATTTCCAGGCAACAACAAAAAGTGCTTCAGAATGATTTATTTTGAGGTCAATTGAACGCTTGAACAATTCAGAATCGCGAAGTATTCTTCATGAGGGCACACACATTCACATAAAGCAGTAACGTTACAAGAGTCCCACATTTACCAACACTCCAAACCAGAACTTTCCAGTGATGCTAAACGGTTTGATTGAATTAATCATTGGTTGTCACAATGCTGAGCAGTTTCAGTAATGTGGACATGTGGCCATAGCTGTCATTAACAAGTACTGTAAGCGACTTATTGTTGCGAGCTCGACATTTAGCGATGTGCCAGTTTCGGGAATATTTCGCGGGCATAAACTTTCACCACCGTGAGTGACATTGCATGTATTCATATCCATAGGGCAACTTATTCACGTTACCAATTTCTTGTGAACTTGATCAAATCGCGATATTTGCGAAAGTTAGGTCCACGCGAAGATTAATTCGTTTACGCTATTAGAGCACAGCCTAGACTGCACAGAATTCAAAGAAGCAGATTCAATGTCAATATACAGTACACTATTTGGAGTAGCCTAACACTTCTTCTAGGCTAACAAAAAGGACCTCATACAGACCCAGGGAATATTCAACATTCCCATCCATATTCAACACAATGAGTGTACAGCAGATAATATAGCAATGCTAGTACAGGGCATGTGGAAAATTACAGTAAGAACAGGCAGCTAAGGTCAAACCACCTAACAGTGTTAGGTAATAAAAATATACAAAAAATCTGTTACCAAAGTAACAGATTTTTTCTAAATATACAAATATTCTGTTACCAAAGTAACAGTAACAGACACAACATTTGGTCAATATACAGGGCACATTGATTAAAACATTAACATGTCGGACATGTTCGGCATATACTCCACGCACGCACCCATCAAAGATCACTTTGCTGCAAAACGTCCTCATCCCGTATATAAAAAAACTATGTCCTGCATTATAAAGTTGAAAGAAAGCCAGAAATATAATCGGCATGCAAACTGCACAACCCAATTAAAGATCGTTATTTTATAGGCGCCTGAAACACCATACCATACTAAGCTTCGAACTTGTCGAGTTGAGCGCCAGGAACAGAAGAATGCAACCGAAATTTTTCCAAGTTTCGATTAATAAAGCGCACATGCCAGCACAACCGCACCCTGCAAAACATCTTCAAAAACCTCCGCTGACACTCCTCGGAGCATAAATGCAAAAAAAACAATACGCGACCAGATGGTGATACAAAACATCACAGACATTGCGCAGGTGTGCTACGCTTTCTATAACACACATAAAGTGAGATTCCAGGCTCTGAATGTAAGTGAAAGTAGCCTCCGATGGCACAGTTAAGTTGCCGAACATCTTTCTTGGAATATGGAAGGCTTTAAGCATTGCTTTAAACGGGGTCATCTCCTGAAGGAGGTTAGTGTTGCCATCTTCAACATTTTCCTTTTTCGAGAGCTTTAGGAGCTTCCTAATCCCAATGTGCTTCAGTCCACAAGTAAACTGATACACATTAGGATTGGTGTTGCAGCCGTGTTGTTGCCTCATCTGCCCGAAAATATTTTCGGCATCTTGCTGCAGTCGCCGTGTCAAAAGAAAGCTGAAGTTATATTTCTCAGAAATATCCTCCCAGAGCATGAGGACGGCCCTGATAGTAACCTGCCACCCAGTGACTGTTTGTGGCTGCCGTCTACCCTCAAACTTCCAGGCTGCCACCCATGGAAGTTGGTTGCAAAGAAAATCAACGATTTCAGTGTCGCCCTTTCTAATCGCATGGCGTAACTTTTGTTCAGATTCTTTTTGTCTCGAGCTGTTAAGACAGTCAAAACGTTTGTCCATGCGGTCACAAAAGTATGCCGTGGAAATGGCCGCCTCAGGGAGCTGTCTGGCATACACAAGAGCTAAAAGTGCAACGCATACTGACGAACTGAGTCGCACGTTTCGCCTTCATGTTACTGAAAGGTTTCTGGTAAATATGCCGGTCTGTCACCTTCGGGGCTAATCGCAGTCGCATCTCGTGCGTGGAGTGGTAAAGTTGCACAATGTAGTTCCAGTCTACATTTTCACTCCCGATGTGAAGCTTGTAAGCTTGCAGGTTGTTACGGGTGATCTTTATCAGGTGCGGGACATCAAAAATAAAATAGACACTTGCATTTTTTACTTTGAAGAATGGCTGCTCAACAGACACTCCAAGTTGGTGCGCCAAACTTACGTTGGAGACACCCTGGTCACAGACCACTGCTTTGATTGTAATGCCAATGTCCTTCAGCTGCTCAATCAGTGGCATAAGCAGGTTACGAGTTACACAGGATGGTGTTGACGTATGCCCAATAGTATATGCTACAGGTTGCACCCACCTCCGAGAAACTCCAGAGAGGAGGAAAACCTGGGCTCTGTCATCAATACTGGAAGTTCGCTGAACACCATCATCTGCAAATCCGAGGACAACATCCTGCGCCACATCGTATGACAAGTTCTTTTTCAACATCATCTCGTCAAAAACTAAGGTACAAATGCGGTCGCGTTCATTCCATGACTTTGTTTTTGACACAATCGATGACATGATGCCTGGAATGATACCTGGCGTCATTTTGACATTGGCTAGCCACCTTCGTAGTGAACGCCGAGATGGTAGCGTGAACACTAAAGACACAAATCGGTATGCCCGCGGTCCATGCAAATTCAGATGGAGCGCAAATTTCTTCAGCCACAGTAAAAATCGCTTCCCCTTGCCCTTCGACCTATTCTTTACATGCGATGATATGAGGTGAAATACCTCTTCAGAAACATGAGGCAGAATTATTTCCAGAGCTTGAGAAGCTGTCTGAGGCGTCTTCAGCTGCTGTTTCCGCAGTCTGGCTATCGCCTTTCTGTAGCTGGAAATTCTCGCCTGGACTCGCTTGATAACGTCCTCGGGCCTTTTCGTGAGCTTGCGGAAAACAGGTGCAGGATGGTTTGGACCAGCTATAAAAATGGCAACAAGTCAGTGAGATTGAAAACAGTTGCAATAAGTGCGATACGATTTAACCAGTACAAGCACCCATTAACCAGTAGCATACCAGGTAAGGTGTGGAGTGAAGCTTGAATTTTCTTCTTGTGCTTTACCATTTTAAGCACTGACAAAGCCAGTGAAACTTCTGACCACCAATTACGTTATTCTTTTACTAGTCATGTAAAATGTTCGGTACTAAATGTCTTCACGCAAAATCCTTGATAACCTTGCAAGTTCGAAAGGCTGAAATAGCATGAAAACCGCAAAACAGCCATGAAAAATTCTCTTGAAACCTCCTCTTGATATGTGTGTTCCAGTTTCACACACCTCCCCAGTCATTAGTAATAAAAATGGTTAGATCGGTATGCCACACACATGAAGCAAAGACTATAGCTTATAAAGAGACCTAGAATTCTTTAAACTGATCCTTCTAGGACAGATTGTATTATCCACTGGCTATAGAGGTTCACACAAATATGTTTTAAAAAGTGGCGAAAGCAAAATGGGACACTTACAGTGTTGACCTGGACCACAGTGGCCAGCGAAAAGACCAGAAGAGCTGGTTGCCTGACTTGGGTCTGGAAGAGTGCGCATATTAGGCACAGGCTGGTGCTTTAAAATAACTCTATATTACCGAGTGCTGCAGAGTGCATTACTGCGGAGCTACATGGAAGTGGTGAACTCTGCAGTCTGTCGGGCTCTGCCTGGTCTGGAAAGGTGCACCATGACGAGATAACCTGTTAGCAAGCACAGAACGGCTCGCTGCGACGGAGCTGCACTGGAGTGAAGGGCCAGATGAGCTGGTTGCCTGAGTGGGACCTGGAAGAATGGGCTTATTAGCCTACATAGAGAAGTTACTTATACCTTTGTGTATATGAGGGAAACACATTATTACAATCACCTATTGCAGATGCCCAGTTTATGGGA